GTGTCGAATCGTACGGTGTCGAATAATTTGGTGTCGAATAAATTTGTGTCCAATAATTTTGTGTCCAATAATGTGGTGTCGAATCGAGCGGTGTCGAATCGTACTGTGGTCAATAGAGTATCACCCCTCGCGACCTTGCTCGGACCGGGAGGGCCGAAAAAGAAGGCCCGTCCTGGACCTGCTTGCTCCAAGCCTAAGTAAGGGCTTGGTAAACGGCAGCCCAGGACCTAAGAGGGGGGAGGGCCATAGCACTTGCTATGGCCAGTCAATAGGGTCGGGTCTACCTCCTCGGGGATGTTTGATCCAGGACTTCGGTCCAGCGGCGGCGAAACGGGGCTGTGTCCCCTCGCTTCGTCGCGTGGGGGGGGAAGTGCTAGCTTTCCCCCACCATTAGGTTACGGGGCGCAAGCCCATACCTACCGGGCTGCCTTTGGGTCGTTTTAAAAAAGAGGTACCGGGGCAGCCCTAAAAGGGTAGAAGGTGGACACCGCAGGGGTTTTAGTGGGTATTCCTCGCCGGGGTGTTCTTTGGCGGGGCGAGTCCCACACTATCCTGGCCCAGACCTAGTCTGGGTCAGGGTGTGCGTAAACGCATTTCCTCTGCGTAAAAAAAAAAAAAATAAATAAATAAAAATCTTGTAGTGGACATTGAGAATTCCACTCGTGCTCGAAGTATCGCTAGAGAATATTTTAGTATGCTCAAAGATAACAAAAAAAGCATTATAATTGACAAGGTCCATGTATATTGTAAAATATGCTTTATGCATTTTGATGGACAAAAAATTTATAGATATAAAAAAGTAGTTAGTACTGGAAATTTACTTTCTCACTTGAGAGAAAAGCATAATATTACATCAACACATTTATCAAATAAAAGAATCAATATTAGGAGATTCTTTGAATCTTGTAGACAATCTGAACACACACAATTCAGTAACTTTTCAAAACTTACTGACTGAAAAAAAGACTTTAATTAATAGCATAACCATCTGGTTTTGCAATTTGTTCCGTTTTATGAAGTTGAAAAAGATGGGCTAAAGGATTTTTTTAAAATATATGATATTGTACAAAATGAATCAGATTTGCTACATCCAAATACATTATCTCGTAATTCACTCTCAAGAGTATATGATGATTGTGTACTTGCTGTTAAGACAAAAATAAATGAAGATAATCCAATTGCAATTTCATTAAATATGGACGCATGGACTACCAATTATCGTCACATTCCATTTATAACTTTTACTTTACATTGGATATCATCTATAGAAACACCGGTAAGATCATTTACATTACAGACAAGCTTTTTACCACGTCCTCACACAGCAGATAATATCGTTGATGAAATAAAAAAAGTGCTAAAGCGATTTAATTTACACAACAAAATTATACCTCTTGTAACTGATGGAGGAGCAAATATGATTAAAGCTGCAAGAGATATGAAAGTTGATAGAGTACCTTGTGTTGCACATGGATTCCATAATTTAGTAATGGTAGATACTTTTCTGAATTACCAGAAATTAATAGTTTTATAGCTAAAGCTAGAAATAGTATAAAAAATCTTGCTTATAAAACTCAAGATTTTGAAAAAGCAAGAGAAATTACAAAGCAAGAAAAAATTAATCATATACTTGAGAATGTTGAAAATTTGGAAGAGATTTTAGAAGCTGATGCAAGATTTAATTCCACTTTCCAGTAATGACCATTCATATGCAGACTTTTTTTTTATTTATAACATCTTCAGGACTACATAAAAATGTATCAACCAGATGGGACAGTACATTAGAAATGCTGGCTGAAATTTACTTAAAAATAAAGGTAAACTGAGTGTCTAATGCAAGTATGTTGTTTATTCAAATTTAAATATTGACACTTAAAATGTTATTTACAATAATTATAAAATGTTATTTATAATAAATTTTTGTCTAATAAAAATATGTTTAAGTTAAAAAAAGTAATATAAATATTACTACAAAACTTTCGAACTTTTGGTATAAGTTACAACCTTATTTATAATATATGACTATATATTAAATATATATTGCGACGTGGTAGGGCGACTGCCGATGCACTTGCCCTCCTCGGTCACAAAAGACTCGTCTCCAAGGCTCGAACTTGCACACGGAATTCACTACTCCTCCACTGAGCAAGATAATTTGTCGAAATTAATATTAAAAGTGGCGTTTGTCTCTCTTGTTCAAAACCAAACATTGTAAGCGGCTGACAAGGGAAATTAGGCAATCGGGAAATTCAGAAAATTCTGAAACATTGTGTGCATGTAAAGTAGTTCATCCGTAACACAAAACTATTTTTTGTTTGTGCCAAAAAACGGTTTGACGGTGTGAAATCATCTCTCATATGTAGAGCGGTTTTTTATTTTTCTAAATTTATCTCGAAAAGGATTAGAGATAGTCAAAAATAATTTATAAAAAAATTTTATAGAAAAACATTCTCTACCTATTTATATTAATAGAATTTTTAAAAACTAATTTTGAAAAAAAATTGTTTAACAAATGTATACAACAAAATTTTTGTTAGCAATTCTATTAATGTAGGTAAATAGAGGTGTTCTTACCATAAAACTGTTGTATAAAACATTTTTTGATGTCTTTAATAGTTTTCGAGATACATCAAAAAAACGCAAAACCGTGTTACACATAATAAGTGTTTCACTTTTTAAAATCGGTTTTACGCCGCTACTGACAATTTCTACATTCATGTAGTTATCTATACATCTGTACAAAGTTTTATCGTAAGAACATCTTTATGTAATCGCAAATTAATACAATTTTGAAATAAGTTGTTTGTAAACATTAATTTTACCATTTTTTATATAAGGACCTATCTTGCGTTATATACTACGACAAAGATAAGCATTTTTTAAATATAAATGTTTTTATTTGTTGAATATTTCTATGTTGCAGTGCAACGTGATTTGAGAAATCATTGAGCATATTTATATTGCAGTTTTTATAGCGCATATTGTATATGTAATGTAGTACGCACGTATCACTCACTTATGTAAGCACAGTGTGGAGTAGTCATACGTTATACGTGAGAATAGTTGGCAATACTTTTCCATAATCAAAAGACTTTGACAAAAGGAAAATTTAAATAATTTTAACGCACTAATTGAATGCCATATCTGAATTTTACTTTATTTGCCTTATTGATTAACACATAAAATTTCAGTATAACATCTCAAACATTTATTACAAGTACATGCAAATTGAATAAAACATTTCATAGAATAGTAAAATAAAATTTACGTTTCGTGTGTAGTCTAAACTCTAAACCCTTAAGCAGAATAAAAATTATGGATTGTAATTGGTACAGTAATGATATTCTTCATAGAAATGTTGAAAACAGAAATACTCGCCACACCATGCACAGCATCTAAAAGTGGCCATCCCACAAATACTACATTTAGGTATATGTTTTTTATTCCTAAAGTAACAGAAATCTACAGGATTTTGAAATTTGCCGGGATGCGTTTCTAAATATCCGCTTTTAAACCAATCATAGTGGAAAAGATTTTTGAATCTGGGCGAAGAAAGGTGATTATAAGTTAATGATTGCAATTGAATTATTTCGTTACGCGAGTGCAAAGCAGTGTTGCTGCGAAGTCGCGTTTTCGCGTATGCGCACTGTACAGCCAATTAGATTCCCGTAAAAGCTGTGTTCTCGCGCATGCGCCTT